TTGACGGCGGCCAGACGAGGCGAAGCGAATTTCTGGGCGGTATTTTTCATTAATTAGGGTTTTCTGACTGGGTGAAAAGGAAGCTCCGTACGCCTACATGCCCTTGTACTGTATACTACATCTACATCTTTCGTATTAAATGGCCACAAACTCAACTTCGGTTCACATTATTCAAACAGTGATGAGGATTTTTCGGAGTTAACTATTCGTGTTCTTTCGGCGGAATCTCGATGTTCATAGGCGCTTACAAAAGACACCTGTAACAGTTTGAAGTTTTTTTAACCCAGAGGGTAACATTTTTAATGAGAACAAACTAATCATGTTCTATGCATATTCAAGAAATACGAAAATTTATGTATGTATTTCTATATGAAAAAGTATGTTGTTTTATTACCTAATAAGAAATAGTGTGATGCTGATATGTATTTTAGATGTGTAGTATGCAAACAAATGGCATTTCACACTTCATGAATGCTCTCGCGCAAGGTGGTAAGGAATAAATACCTATTCTCATTGGTATCCTCAGAATATTTAAAGACAATTAAACACTCACGTCTTTACAACAATTATTTTATTATCATCAATAATTTATTATCATTGAACTAAATCGCAGTGCTTCACCACTCTATATCACCGCATTTTCAGGTTTTCACACACCATAAACCAAAACTACTTATAGGAAAAACACTCATTTTTACACAAAAGTCATAAATTAAAAGCATTGTTGAGTGAATACAAAGGAATAGGCCAAAATAAGAGCAATATCTACAGGTCGACCTCCACAGTCAGAATCATATATCCAAAACAAATGCTGTAGACATAGCTCTTATTTGGATGTATTCCTTGGATTTTACTATTCTGTTTTTAATGTATGTCTTTTTGTGTTACAATTACAGTTATTCTTATAAATATATTTAGTTTTTGTCACATATACCATCACTAATTGGATTTACATAAGAACATATAACAAGTTTTGTTATCTTCTCCATTTTTTTATTTTATTAATTTGTTAAAAGGGAAAATAATCGTAAATTGTAATAGTTTTAACATATTAAACACTTATTTCATAAAGATATATTATTTGGTGCCTTTTCTTTCACTTTAACGTGTTACCAATACATACTTTACAACTCTCTTTTGTTTGAAATAAATAGCCCGACAATGCCCCTTTCAATAATAAGTGAAAGATTTAATAATTGCTGACACATTTAATTTTTGACTAGAGACAGATTTTCCCAGGCGCATTTTGTGCCAAATATGGTCAGTGTAGTTTTCCCATCTACATTTAACGTTCATTACGACGTTTCAAAGCTAGTTGAACAGAATCTCACAATGACTTATTATTATTATTAAGCATAGAAAAGGGTGCTGCGGGTAAGAAAATTCTAGCTAATTACTGTGAGCATTCCTCTCGTGAAATTAACACCAGTAATGTTGAATTATAGTGTTGAATAATAGTGTTTAACTATAGATTTGGTATGTAAGTTACCAGCTTCCTCCTTGCTTGCCAATCACAAAGTGTGATATATCAATTATGGAAAACGCTGACGTGACACTTGGAGCGCGAACACAATATATGGCTTATTCTCATACTTTTTCAGAGGTAATTACATTCATAGAATAGTCTTGATAATATCGCTCGTGCATTGAAAATGTCCAACTCAATCTTAGTAACTATGATAACAAACGACTTCCACAACGTGAACAAATTCGTTGCAGCCAATCAAAAGGAGAACAAAACATTAAAAAATTATCTTTTATTCTCGAAAGAAATCTCTCCTTATTCTGTCTAGTTGGACATGATGAAAAATAAGAAAATCGATCAAGGGTACAAAACTTCACTTGAAATAAAGTTTCAGTTGAAAATAACTGTAGATATGTGCAAAATAATCAAAGATTTTTTATATAAAAGAACATAATGATCCAACAAGTGATCTAAATTATTACAAACAAAATAATTCCAATTAAATTCCACCGTAATTCGTTTAGAGGTAGTCAATATTACTCCAAACAAAAAGAGAATCAGACAAAAATTGTAAAAACTATTAAGTGGTTGCACATAAATAACCATCTAAGCTGATACATTTAAATTATTTTTTTAAATCACAGATATTTCAATATTATTCATAAATATTATGCATCCACTCAGTTTCTTCACTGCTTCTTAAAGCCTCGCCAAGAGACATCCCGCTGTCAAATTACTAGCGATAGCACTTTGCTTAATCATTTTACTTCAACTAGCATGAACTATCATTTTATTAATCTCACTCATCGAACAGAAGAGTTCAATAGAGTCGCTGCAATAAAATTCTTAATATGTGTAATAATAGTATCTTGTAAGAAACTATCCCTCGTGCTTCTGTAATGAACGTCTTGTCAGATCATGCAGAACTTTTAAGAAAGAATTCGATCCGACAATGTGAGAAACCATTCTTTTAACTATACATGAAACTAAAGTTGTCAATTTAATGCAAAAAAATAATTAAATTTTTATCACATATAAGAGTAGCGGCGCGGATTATTCGTAAGTACAGAAACGCTGGCGAAACAAAGAAAATATCGCGCATGGGCAGGCGCAAATCTCACACACTCACAGACACGTATCCACAGACGCACGCCCTTCGCCCATAGGGGCTCTGCGGCTCCCCTTTCGCGTGACGTCATGAATCATTCCCCAGGCGGTGACGCGTCGCTCGGGCAGGCGGGCGGGCGGATAAGACGCGTGGAGGCCCACAAAAAAACTTCAGCAATTAGCTGCAAGTTGTATAATTCCTGAGTGAAGTAACTTTAACACCACGCACCTCGCTTTAATCATGCTCGGGCGGGGCGCGGGGCGTGGCGAGGGCGGGGCGGGGCGGGGCGGCCGGTGTGCGAGCGGGTGGTTCGACGAAGCTCCGTGCGGCGGGGGGGGGGGCCGACCGGCCCTGCTGCCGCCGCTTTTCCGCCGTAAAACCGACGCAAGAGTATTAATTCTTTCCTCGCCATTTAATATACGACTTTTAAAAACTTGCGGCGGGAGGTGGACAGCGGGGGAAGGGCGGGGCGCGCGGGGGACGGATGGGAGGAAGCGGCGGTTGGGGACGCACCCTAAAAGCTAAACTCAATTAGAGTAAACCTCCATATAAAAGTCCTTATTAGTGCCCGGCCTATCCTCGTCGCCGACGCGAGCACGATGCCGACGTCGCCCGCCGCCGGTTTGGGAAGGGGCGGGGCGTTGGGCTGGGACGCGAAGGGGTGGTAGATCAGGAGAGGGCTGGGCGAGGAAGAAATGGAGCGAGGGGTCTGAAGTAGGAAATGAGTGAAGGTGCGGGGGGTGGAACGTCCCCGCATGCAAGAGGGCGTGCGGACGCTTTCAACTCTTTCCTCACCTTTCATCTTCCCTCTGATACGATTTGCGTGGTGCGAGAGGGTCTGGTCAAGACTAGCAAGAACCCGATTAGCACCCCCGACGTATATTGCAGGCGGCCGCTGAAGGCAGGTCAGGCGCTGCAAACGTCCGCCACGGCGGCTGGCCAAAACAACGTTTATACGCAGTCTTGTGATGTCAAAGAACGTGTATGTAATATGAAAAATTGTCTTCACGATGAATACAAAATAAACGTAATCCATGAAGGGCTAAATTAATTTAATTGGTAAAATTACGATTATTTTTCTTTAATAAATTCATTTGGAACACAAATAATCAAGAATGTATAGTGACCATCTGATTGACGATTATTCTTTGTGAAGAAATTATGTGTACAAGTGTCACATAATACGAGGTGTCTCGTAAATATTACAAACGTCTAGGGCATTTACAGGCTTTAAATTACCACTTTTTGTCAATAAACATGTATTGGGAAGTTTCATACGTGACATTGAGTCATTGTATTTTGGCAATTTCTTTTAACCAGAAGATTTGGCAGCTCACGTTCTGACGCCGTCAATGATATTTCGTATAGCATCGCAGCCTAACATTCATGGTCAAATATCGATGTAAATACGCTTGTTTCACAATTATACCCAATTTTTCACACGTTTAATAGCAAACTGTGATAGTTTTCGAACCCATCTATATGCCCCTGAAATTAATAACATTTATTCTAAGACACCTGTAAATTATTTCAACTCTACAAATAAAGCCAGCAAATAAATGCTCAAAAGAAGTTTGATAACACCGTTTTAACCCAAACAGGTTTAAAGGGCTACTTCATAAGGAACAAATGTGAAAATTTAGATTGTAGCGTATACAATACAATCATATGAATAACTGCCTAAGTTTTCCTATACAATACGATACCTAAATTATTGATCTGGAACCATTATATTGAACACTGGAACCATATGAACAGGTGTTCTTAAATATAATGAAATTTTCGATGGTTTCCTTGTTTCTATTACCTCACAAGCTTCGAGTATTTTACAATTTTTCTTCATATAACGTTGAGAATCTTTTTATATTACATAATTGACCATGTACTATGTATATTAATTTCACATGACAAATAATTTCTTGTGCACTAAAAGATGATAAATATTTTACGTAAAACTGGAACATCATTCCCCAAACTAAGAAATATTCAAACCAAGCAAAGTAGATAGGTGATCGATATTACTCTAAACACGAAATATTACCCAAAAGAATCATTTATTCGAGAGATATGCATGTGTACGTATTAAACTGTGGATGAGATTGCAGTAATATCGAATAGTTGATGTTAATTGCCAAACCTATTGCTAATTTTTGAAACGTATAACATGTTTGTCACGAATTTCCCCTTAAGTGGAATCTACGAAGAAAATCATTCAATATATTAGCATTTAACTGTAACAATTTCCAAAACTATGATCACCACATTGAGTTAATGGTATAGTTTAATTGTCTGCAGAAATAATTGCATAGCTATTTCTATACATATTATTTTTTAATAAAAAAGTTTCTTGTAGAAATTAGAACTGATGACTGTTTCTCAAATTACTGTAAAATGTAACTTTTCATCTATTTCAATCGTAGAACTGACCTGTAGAAAGGCATTGATGCAGCTCAGCAAGACACAGATGTAATGCGGGAGACCGTCCCTTTTGAATCAGGCGCAACGAGCGCCTGAGCAGGAGACTAGTGCAGATGCAGCGGCGATTCGAGAGCAGGGACATGTCATTGCTGTTAATGACAGCGACGACAGTGGGCACAGTGGTCGTGGTGACAGTTGAAGCGGAGGAAGTCTGCGAAAGCATAAAAGAAAGAGGTCGTGGTATGGCGAGGCAGCGGAGGTGGTCTGGATGGCCCCGAGAGGCTACGGGGGTCGTAAAGGCAGCAATGGTGGCTGCGAAGGCCGCGGAAGCAACGCTATGTAAGAAGGCGGTAACACGTGCACTGGCGCTCGGAAAGGGTGGAGAGGGGGAACGAGGCGAAGCGAGGAGGAAAGGGGCGAGATGGGGTGGTGTGGCGAGGAGGGGAGGGGACGGGCGGGACAGAGTGAGGCGTGTCGGGACGGAACGGGGAGGGGCCCCCGCGGTAGGAGGGGCAACGGGAGCGCAGGAGCACAACAAGCGGTGGCGGCGGCGCACAAATTGTGTATAGCCGCGCCGATGCGCACCGCGCTGGCCAGTGGGCCGCGGTGGGGGCGGCGGCGCGGTCGGGCGCCAGCCAGCCCCTGCACCGGGAGGCGACCCGCCAGCCACCCATGCATTATGATCACAGGGTGCGGGCCGCAGCCACAAATCTAACAGCCGCAGGCAGCGGCGGCGGCGGCGGAGACAGCAGCGGCCTTGCGGGCCGCCTCGCCGCCGCCCAGCCCCGCCAGCCAGCCAGCCAGCCAGCGCAGCAGCCAGCCAGCCAGCCTGCCTGCCTTGCCTGCCTGCCTGCCTGCCTGCTGCCTTGCCTGCCTGCCGCCTGCCTGCCTGCCGCCTGCCAGGCTGCCCACCCGCCCCGTCCGCGCCAGCCGCGCGCGCGCCCGCCTGAAATTAAATGTGTTAGCCACGCAAATTCAAAATTGGTCCGCGGTAAGCGCCGCCGTCGCCTGGCGAGGCGCTGGGGTGCTTGCCCAACCGCCGCCCCCGGTGGGGCGCAGCCACGCGCGCTTGGAGACTCCCCCCCCCTCGCCTTACCCTCCTCGGGAGCCCGCCTTACCACTTCTCTGCTGCTGCCTTTCAGTACTTGATTACTTCCAGACTTCACCGACGGCGCCCCTCCATCCTCATCCTCACCTGATCAGTATTGTGTTTATTATGCCGCTTTATGGGAAACTTATATTCTTAGTGGAATCTGTATAGACTATGAACTACTACAAGAATCCATAGTAACCTTCTTAAGTTAATGTCTATGCAAGCATTTCGATGCAATTAAGCAATTAATATTTTAAAATATTGCATGGTGGCATTATTGCAAATAAGTAAAAATAAAATTCTTAGATGAAAGTAGATTCCTTAAACGTCTTTCGTCTCAATATTAACAGTTCAAATCAAGTTAAGTAATGAACAAACGGTATTAAAAATTAACGATAATTCCTAAATTAATGGTTCCCACTTACATTTTCTTTATACCTCTCAAGCTATCATGACTTGTGTCTTACACTTCCCTTTAGATACATATTTCAATTCACACAGGTGCGTTGTCATTTCCAACATAAGACAAGCCCCTTTTGCGTTTCATAGAGCACTTTTACACACTGGTTAACAGGACACTTAACACTGGGTTAACAGAACCCTTAATTATAAAATTAAGATCAAACTTCTACACTGTTATTTTAAAGTAAACAATGTGAAAGTGATGTAACGAAAAGTATTATCTAAGGCAATAAAATTTTGCACTTTTTATGGCTGCAATTGGAATTTTAAAAATTTCTTACGTTTTTCGAGCTATTTTTGTTGTTTAATTTTTCCTTTAGTATTACTTATATTCCTTTTACTTTGCTTCTGTATAATCTTCTTAACCTATTTTCTTTCAGTACTAATAAAATTTAACTCAATACCGTACTTACATGTCTAATTATCAGTTACTATAAGAGCGGCTACACTTTTGAAGTCTTGTACTTAGCGGCTCCTACAAGGTGTTCTTTCACATTCGAAAAACATGTACGGTGGAGTATTGTTTTCCGTTGTCAGTTTGAACTATTCATCCCACGGAATCCGGCTCCCTTTTGAGCATAAAGGAGCGACCGCCCCATAACAAAGTGCACGAGCGGAGAAACGAATTTGCAGAATATATTACGAAGTAAATGATCCTGAAGCGCGGGGCCTCCGAGGAGCAGCGCGCGGCGCGCGCGGCGGCGTCGATGAGGAGTTAGCCGCCCTCGCAGCAACGATAAGCTTTTTCCTTGGTCGCGCGGCGAAGTGTTTTTCCAAGAAGAGAATTAGCGCGGCGGCGAATGCAAGTTTAATTTCCGGTAATCACTACTGCGCCCGGCGCACAAGGAGGGTCAGACGCGACGCGCTCTGGGCGGGGGCGGGTGGGGGTGGGGGTGGGGTGGGGCGTGGGGTGGGTAAGCGGCTTGGGTGAGGGGGGCGTGGCGGGGGGGGCGACGGCACCGCTCCGCCTGGCAGCTTAAAGACCCAAGGGCCCCGGCTCGGCCGGCGCGCCAGCCAGCCACGCACCAAAGTAAAGGCTTTACAATTTTCGCGCCCTGCGTCATATTAAAAATGCATGTGCTAGTTAATAATTCTGTCAGTTGCCGAGAGTGCGGCCGCGGAAGGTCGGCCTCTCGGTCGGCGGCGGCGGCGGCGGCGGCGGCGGCGGTGGCGCGCTGCCCGCGGCCCGCGGCCCGCGGTTCGCGGACCACTCCCCTTCCCCTTGACTGGTGCCCCCTCGCGACCCCCGCGGGCCTCCGTCGCCGACGGGCCCGCGGCCCTCGTCATCTATAAGTCAGCGCGGTCTCCGGCCATGCCCCATCTGCTAATAACTTTCCGTTTCCTCGGCGCAACCTCAGACGTTCGTTTATTTTATTCAGCGCCGCCTTATGTGGCTCATTTTATTACGGCCTCTTCCAGCTCGTTGGGCGGTGCTGCTAACTAGCAACCTGCGCCGCGGCCTGCGGGAGCATTCTCCGACGGTCGCTTGCAAATGGGCGACGTGCTTTATAGATGACAATGGACTTTTTTGACACAACATCCACGTGAATCGAAATTATAGCTCTTTCTATGTCTCGCAAACTTCGATTTCTGAAAATGCAGCAGATAATATGTCGATCACGCAAGAATTAATCAATACATTTTACTCTTAGTACATTTATTATCCCATCATTTAAGTCTACAAATTGGTGTAGGTAACAATACTATATCTAGTTCTACTAATTTGCAAACGATACTGAAATAAGTAAACATAATGGGACTCACTATTAATGAGAATATGCATCAGATACCTATAGCTCCAAGAATAAACATGGCATATTTAACAGCAAGAATTCACTCAAATAGATCTCACAGATATGATTGAAAATAAATTGAATAAAAAAACCCCTTCAACTTCTAATTTAAGATACTCCTTTTTAATATCTCTGTCTCTGAATATTTTTATTGTGTTTTCAAAGAAAGGCGAACTAATAGAAACATCATGTTTTAAAAATACCATTATATTATTTAGTAACTACACCTGCCTCATCATTACACACAGCTACAGCAACTACACAAAAATAACTCATGTCCGATTCCTATTCAGCCCATAACAATGATTTACGTACTTTCACCAATCCTCTAGCAGCAAGTAAATGCATCTAATTACACAGGAAATTGCACTGTGGACGGTTTAATTTGAAGTCAACCAAATTCATTGTAATATATTAGGATTATTGCTGAAACTTTCAATAAAAACTTAGTTTGGCCCACGAAATCAAGAACTCAAAAAAATTATATTCAAAAAGCTAATGTGCTGCTAATAAACTGCATATAAATATAGGACAAAACATGAGGAACACAAACAGATTTGTTTCAAATTCGCAGACGATTCCAATTAAAATGCCCAATAAAAATTAGAATATGTTATGATATTAATGGTGTAAGCTTGTGTAAACAAAGTACACAGAGTCGACACAAGGCGAGAGTTTTTAGGGATTAACAAGGCTTGTATTTTACTATTGATAAATAGTTGGGATCGCTGGTTGTGTAAAGAACCCTGACTGAACCGTTCTTTAGTATCCCAACAGTCCACCTATACCATAAGGATTAAGAGAAATATCAATTTTACGGGCGTTAATACTGCAGAAATGGATTCAGTCGGAGGTGAGTGTACAAACAGCTGCCTTTTCAATAATATTCAACACCAGATTGGTGAAAGGTAAGCAATAAACAACAGAAAAACATACAATCGAGGACCTTATTCGGTCTATGCTAATATCGCCATAAAAAGCACGCAATAATCAGTTTTTAACTCGAATGTTTCCGAGAGTGGACCCTTTCCATGAGAGAGCTGAAGCAGCGGCGAAATGGCATCGTGCACGCAGCTCAATCCACCGCCGTTTCCAAGATGGCCCCCCAACTTACGATCGCTGAGCAGCCTTAACACTGATGAAGCTTCGGCGGCCGAGGCGTTCAGTTTATGAGGGCGGCGAACACAAAGTTACTAAAAGCCGTCATAAATTCGTTTCTGAAATTTTAACCTGCCGCCGCCCGCGCCGCCGCCTCCGCCGCCCCCGCCGAAGGAGCGACGCGCCCTCCGAAGGGCGGCCTGCCTCCGTGGAAAGAGCCGCGCCAGCCCTTTCTCGTCTTCGCCCTTAATGAAACAATTACTTTCATTATTGTGTTCCGATGTTTAGCTGCATCGCGCTTCTTGTAACGTCGTGAAGCTTCATCAGGAAGCATTATGAGTCACGAGGCAAATGAGCAGCACTTTGTCCCTCATTGATTTTGCGAAGGAGGTAAAGCGGGGCTCGGGACGCGGAAGAAGTCGCCTCGTCTTCGCGGTGTCATCTCGTTTTGCTGAGCGATCCGCTGAGGGGCGCTTCACCCCCTCCGCATTATCGTTATCACCCCAACAAAGACCCGTTTAGCTCTGAATGCTCCAGTGCCACAATGTTTGAGAGACATCACCTTACATCCTCGGGATCTTACTTCTGATTACAAATTAATTTTTGGGGAATTCTTTAACCCCATTACATGGTACGTATTTTTTAATTTTTCTAAGCACCTGTGATTTGATCTTAACAAAACATTAAGGAATCAAACAAACTCGAGCACGACCTGCGTTTTGCAAGTCGTAATCACCAATATTTTCTATTGTTGTCACTTTTGAG